GTGGGGATGGGGGCGCTGGGCAGCCTGGCTCCAGGCCCGGGCCTGCCTGGACCCACCCACCTCGGCCCCCACCTCTCCCCAGCCCCTGGCGTGGCCCACCTCTCCTTCCCGCCCTCCCGCAGACCCAGGCGTACGCGCCTCAGCCACCCCCGCGAGCTGATTGCGCGACGGCCCATCCCAGGCCCTGTCTGCGACTGAGGCAGGCGCTGAGGCCTGAGCCTTGTGACGGTAACGACTGTTTTTGCCACCTCTCCTCTGCTCTCCAAGCTGCACAGCAAAATGAAGATGAAGGATAGAGATGGTCAGAATGATGTGAAAACAGGCTAGTTTTTAAATCTGGTTGCTTAGTCACTCGGTTAGCTGACCTCTAGACCCCAAAGTGGAGGGAGGTCATTTTCTCTACCTTGCGCATTAATACCAAGCAAAGGCATTTCATGCACGTTAGCACCGATTGGAGCAGACCCTTCCTATGCACACGCGCTGTCCTCCTGGAAAAGACCCACGTCCTTGGGGTGGACAGCAGAGACTTACGAGTCAGTCGTAACGGAGGAAAGACCTGGCCTTGCTCGGCAAACCTGACGATCTCTTGGAGCAGAAAAGTCCATGGATGCCCGGTCCACGCTATTCGCCTTTACACTCACGCCAGCTGAGTGTCGCCTCCGGAGCTGGGCTTCCAGCCCCGGCACCGCCTTCCCTAGCCCGCGAAAGACCCTGTGTAGGACGCCCGGGGAGAAAGGCACTCCGCTGCCTGCCGCGAAGCTACTGCACCTCGCCTGCGCCCGCGACTGGCTCTTGCATTTTGCAGCCACCACCCACCCCCGCCCGTTACTCACCAATTAATTGAAAACTTAACTTTCCCAGAGACCTTTGTTTCGGTTCCTTTTCCAAGTCAGCTTCAGAGAACTGAGAGGGGGCAAATTAAGAAGACAAGTAAATTAAAAGGAAAAGCAAAGCCGAGAGACTTTTGATAGGAGCAGCCCAAAGTAACTGGGTCTGACTTCATGGGGAATAGGGTGGGCTCAAGGCAGTGCTGGCGGGGCTAGGCCCAGCTCGGGGAGGCTCTGCTGCCAGAGTGTCAGAGATCACATCCCTGATTTCTCTCCTCCACCACTTCCTGCCATTCCCCAGCCTCAGAGCTGCACCCCACCATCTTACCATCTTAGCACTTAGTGGGGAACTGCAGTAACTCTGTATTAAGTTAAAGGTTCTGCCTTGAAGCAATATTAGATCTCATGACTCAAGGGTGCTGGGGTGGGTGGGGGACCCCTTAGAGCAGACCTATTTGGTTGTGTGACATCACCTGCCCAGGACAGTCCCATTTCCAAGAAAATTGCTTGAGGCCAGCTTGTTGCCCAGCCCTGTTGTTCCTAGACCAAAGACAGATACTGTATAGGGCAAGGAAGAAAGCCAGGAAGGCCCTCCTGGGCCTGGCCCGACATTGCAGGGTGGGCTGCTGGTGTTAGGAGTGTTGACACGCAAAACACAGTAACCATAAAAGGCTCAAATAAAGGGGAAAGTTATGAGAGTGGTGTTGCAAAGGAGAAGCAGGAGAATTTGTTTTCCCTTTTTGAAGTCCTAGACATGTTCATGATCAAAATTGACATGAGCGCCTGAGCTTTGCAGGAAATTGTGGAGAACAGGAGTTTGCTAATGAGAATACTTCTGACTGCTTGAGAGAAGACAAAAATTGGCAATGGGCATCACATAGGCATTTTCAAAAGGCCAACAGGGCCAGGCGACCTAGTTGCTAACTTTTTGGAAGTGTCTGGCTGGGTCCTTTTTACCTAACAATTATTCAAACTGTTAACCATGATCCATCCTGAGATGCTTTTATTTTTCTTTGTTTCCCTTTCTTTTTCTCAGAGAGGAAAGACATGGAGAAAATTTTCTATGACATTTTAAAAAAGTGAATTGAAATCTAAGATATAAGTAGAACAAATGAATTTTAGTCTCAAAACTAAATATCTCTGTAGTTTTTGTGCCCTTGGACTTCTGTTCCACTTTTTATCTGATAAGTACATTTTAATGACTGGTTATATGTTTAAAATGAATAAAGTAAAATTAAGATAGGAAGAATAAAAAAAGTGTCAAGTTTTGCTGATTTCAGGCAGCCTATTGCTTTTGGCTTAATTTTTCATGTGGCGAATTAAGTTGGGCTGGGGTGGGAGGAAAATGTGAATTAATGCTCAGGTTGAAAGAGACTTCTCAATGGTAGCTCTGCTTCCAAATGCCCTGTGGAACCTTCATAGGACTTGGGGTTTCTCTGCTCATCCCATGGGTTCTGAGACCAGACAGTTCTGAGAAATAAGAAGTGTTGTCTCTCACTATCCTGCTACTGAACCTGCTTCCAGCATAGCCTTTGGGATCCCAGTCATCTGGGAGGGAAAAGAGGCTCTGATTATGTCCTGTCCAGGCCCCTAAACCCAGCACCCCAGAGTAACTGCTGCTATTGGATTATGGGGCTGTAGTTGAGTACCAAGCAAAGTTAGGGTTGCTTTGTTTATGAACTAATGAGATACACAGTTTACAAGCTGGGGGTGGTAGGTGGAGGAGGCTGAATTTGCAGAAACATTTTATTTAGCTTGTATAGCCTGGGTCCAAACTGATTTCACATTTAAATCTATTGGGGATAATTTTCTTTAGCTGACAAGGAGCACAGACTGAGCCCTGTGTGTGTGTGTGTGTGTGTGTGTGTGTATCATGTTGGGATTTTAACAACAGAAATAGACTTTGTTAAATGAAGATCTTTTGCAACCATAAATGTCTCCAAAAATTCACGTATTCTCCCATGAAGCTAGGTTTGCTACCTTTCCTGATTTGGATGGAAAACTCAAGTGGGTCCTTTACTGCCCAGAGTTCCACTTAACTCTCTAATCACTTGTTCATCTTCCACCTTTCTCTTCACAAGCACCTTTTTTTGAGAATTGATGTCATTCTGAAAATCACACCCTCCCTCTTCCTTCTTGTAGATGAGCTTTCAAATTGTGTGCTGGTCCTGGTTTGGGAAATAGGCAGACACCGTCTCCTATTTAGATTTATTGAAGTTACTGTGCTTGCCAAGACAGCAATGAACTCAATTAACCACATAATAGTTGTGGCCATTAAGGCCAGGGTGATAGGGGCCTATCAGAGTGTGGTCCTGGGGACTCCTTTGAAAGTATTTGCCTTGATGGTCACAACGAGGAAGTGCAGGACACCCTCATAATTAACTTATAAGAAACTAAATGTTCAGTGTAGAAATAGCATCTTCATTCTGAAGTCTTAAGTCCAGCAGAACTGGCTGGAGAGTGTTCTTAACCAAGTCTGCCAACTTTGGAACTGATTTTCCCTCTTCAGGCAATACTCCATTTCACTTAGGCTAGAAATATTAAAAAAAAAACAAAAACCCAAAACAAATTTGGGGTGAAGGAGGCTTTAACAATGGCCATAGTAGAACTCTGCATTTGGATACTTTATCTCACTAGTATTGTGTTTGGGTTTAACAACACACTTACACTTTACAATGAATGTAGTTTGCAACAAAAAAAACTCTCCAAACCTGTCATTTAGTGAAGCCAGGTTTACTTCCTGCCAGGGCAATAGGTCCTTGTTTGGGATGGAGAGAAATCTTCCAGCCTTGGAGAGACTTAAGCAAGAGGGTCTGTCCTGGAAGAGAAGCACTATGTCAGGGCGAAGGGGGAGCTAGAAGATGGAACCAGAACAGATGACCAGGGTAACTTGTCTTCCTTAAAAAAAAAAAAAAAGCTGGAACCATAAGCAATTCGCCACTATTTTGTCCTACATCTCAAGGTGTGGAGTTGTCATCAGAATACACTTCTCTAGCAAAACTCTTTCTAAGTCCGGTAAATCTCGCTCTGTCGGGCGTTTGAGATAAAGGGAAATATTTTCTTTCTTCCATCTTCTCTGTCTGTGTCCATCCCACAGAGCCTGCTATCTCCTTGCGAAATAGCTAGCAGGGCGGAGAGATGAAAGTTAGGGAAGTGCCCTAGCATGAAGGGGAAGACGAAAGAAAAGGCAGAGGGGTGAATGGAATGGTCGGGCTCCGACTTCGGACAGCGCGCAATTCCCCACGTCTGGCGCTAGATGTCTCTGCAAGTTTTCCTGTCGCATCTGAGGGCACACCAGCTTCAGGCAGGCAGTGATTTTGCAGCCTCAGAATCTGGAGAGAAGGTGCCATGCTGTGCAACCTCTCATCAATGCCAGTCTCCAGTGGGGCACAGGATTCTGAGGACAGAGGAGAGGGAAGAGGCGAGACAGAAGCAATCAGTAACTTGTCTTCCTTAAAAAAAAAAAAAAAGCTGGAACCATAAGCAATTCGCCACTATTTTGTCCTACATCTCAAGGTGTGGAGTTGTCATCAGAATACACTTCTCTAGCAAAACTCTTTCTAAGTCCGGTAAATCTCGCTCTGTCGGGCGTTTGAGATAAAGGGAAATATTTTCTTTCTTCCATCTTCTCTGTCTGTGTCCATCCCACAGAGCCTGCTATCTCCTTGCGAAATAGCTAGCAGGGCGGAGAGATGAAAGTTAGGGAAGTGCCCTAGCATGAAGGGGAAGACGAAAGAAAAGGCAGAGGGGTGAATGGAATGGTCGGGCTCCGACTTCGGACAGCGCGCAATTCCCCACGTCTGGCGCTAGATGTCTCTGCAAGTTTTCCTGTCGCATCTGAGGGCACACCAGCTTCAGGCAGGCAGTGATTTTGCAGCCTCAGAATCTGGGGAGAAGGTGCCATGCTGTGCAACCTCTCATCAATGCCAGTCTCCAGTGGGGCACAGGATTCTGAGGACAGAGGAGAGGGAAGAGGCGAGACAGAAGCAATCAGAGGAACCTAGACGAGTTGGACAGCTAGAGGCCAGCCTGCAGAAAGATAGGAGCATGAAGTTGCTGGTGCGATGTCAGGCCTGGAGTTGCCAAACCCGCATCTTCTCTTGTAAACCGAGCCCCAGCCGTGGGGACAGCACTTAGCCTGAAGAAAACGTTCTCCCATCTGGGACAGCCAGGGCTCTGGCGGTCCTGCTGTCGCTCCACACCGCACTTCCCTCCAGCGAACCGTGTGTTCAGATAACAGGTCGCTGGTCCGCGGTTCGGTGACCCTTAATACCCAGCGACCCCCCCTGCCCCCCCCCACCCCCAGCCGCGAAAAGGAGAGCTAGGCCCTTGTAGCCCTGAGGCTCTCCTGCAGCTCTGGCTTAACCCATACCCCTCCCCTCCAGCGGAGACACATTTTTATTACCTGCAGTCAGAGGCAAAAGTGTTTACCACTTCACCTCGGAAGACCCGCTGCTGTTCAAGAAACAAATATTTAGTCTGTAGGCCTAACCAAAAAATTAGGCCTCTTTCATGTCATTCCTCCTTTCAAGCAAAAAGTGCTTTTCAGTCGATATAGAGAAAGTACTTCTCTTACCTTCTACCCCTTGCATCTTAAAAAATTCCTGCTAAAGCACACAGGCCTGGGTCGGATTCCGGTTTTATTGAGTGAGTCCTATACCGGCGGTAGTGGGTAGGAGGCCTTGAAGGTCCCAGAGGCTATGTCCAAAAACTGGGGGCATTAAAAAAGCCCCACATTCTGGGAGTACAGCAAAGTTTGCATAATTCTTCAATAAAAATCAACAAAACTGCATTCGTCTTCCCACTCCCATCTTTGCAGGAGTAATATTTTTAAAGCAGGCTGATATTTAAATAAAACATATGCACAATAAGAAAATCAACCAAAGAATGCCCAAAGCTTTCCGCTACCTTGGAACTTGCATATTTATCAGAGATACGTTTAAATCACGAGCAAGTCCCCGAATTTTACTGTGTTGAAGGTTCCTTGTCTCTGAAAAATGGGTAATAGAGTGATCTCATAGGGTTAGTGTGAGCTTTAGAGGAGGTAATGTATGTAAAAAGAACTTGTAGTTGCATAGAAAGAGCTTTATATAAGTTAGTCAGTATAACTCCTACTAGTAGGTGTGAAATCTAAATAAAATTAAGGGACATTAAATATTGGAATGGAATGTTCACTGTGTCACATGAAACATTATTGTCTGCTAAACGCAGTTTAGTTAAAAATTATAGGAGTCTTTTACTGTGAGCACTTTCCCTGACATGGTCTCGAATGTAGTTTTCGTAATAAACGTGCTAGAAATGCAATATTAGTGTTATTTAAAAGGTGCAAAATAGTTTTCAGAACCACTAATGAATGAAGGTGTCGCCTAGAAATTTTTTTTTTTTTTTTTTCTTTTCTTTTCAACCGACGGAGATCTGGTTTGGGACCAGAGGCGCGGTTCCCAGAGGAAGGGAGGAAGTGGGATACCCGCGGGCTGGGTGATAGAGGAGGGGTCGCCGTCTGCACTCCAGCCCCCCAGCGGAGGCTTCAGCGATTGAAAAGCAACTCACCACCGCCTAAACCGCGAGGAAAACAGATGGGGGCGCCAAACGACAGCAGTAAAGGCGTCCACGAATTTCCGCCCAGGCCACGCTTCCTCTGGCCCCCACCCCAGGGCAAAGCTCACTCCCCCCTCCCGACCCGAGCCAGGACCAAGTTGGTCCATTCTGTCCCCGGAGCAAGCGGAGACTGGTTGAGAGACCCTCAGGGGTCACTTGGGGCAGCGACTGCGACTGCTGGGAGTAGCGGAGCCAGGCGTCCCGGCTGCGGAGCAAAGAGGAAGCAGGTGGGGGCGTCCGCAAGGCTCGGCTCCCACCGCGCTGCTAGCCCCACAGCCGGCTCCAGGAGAAGGCAGAACGCGCTCAGCTGGGTGGTCACTGGGGCAGCGGCGGAGGAACGCCCTGTCAAGTCCTCCTCTAGGTGCCAGATGCCCTCTCGGCGTTCCCTGCCGCCTTAATCCGCACCTCCCCCGCCCCCAGCCACCGTGTGCGTATGGGGCTTTCCCTTTATTACCTTAGAGAAGTGGAATTGATTTTCTAAGCAAAGCTAGAGTTGTTCAAATAAGTTGGCGCCGAGGGGAACGGGAGAGAAACTTTTGGCATTGCCTATATGTGTGTACGTATGTATATAAATACACTTCACACCTCGCCTCCCCTTACATTCCTGACGCGCCCCCAACGGGTCCAAGGTTAAAAGGAAAGCGCCAACAGACAGATGGGCAAATAGATCTCGGGTTTGCCCCTAACACACCCCAATGTGCTGGGTGTGTCGCGAGGGAGGAAAGGAGGGGGCCCGGGTTAGGGTCTGGGTTGGCGCTGGGGCGGGGATGCAGGACCCGCGCCTGGCGCCCAGATTGCTGGGGTCTCCGAGCCGCTTCGGAAGCTCAAGAAGACCTCCTGTCCCTGTACACCCTCCTCCTGGCCGGTGTCTACCGACTACCGGTTTCGGCTGCTAGGGAGCGGCAGGCACAGTGCTTCATGGGCTCGGGAGGGTGGGGCGCAAGCGCGGGAGGAGATGAGGAGCGGCCTTGAGTGAAGATTGATCTTCGTTAAAATGGTTGCCACCGGCGTCATTATGACTATCAAAGTTATCGCCAAGAGGCTCAGCCGCCAAGCTCAGGCCGCAAGGAACAACTGCAAGGCTGGTCCGCGACTCTATGCGCCCGAACTCCGCGCCGGGAACACCGGGGGCCACAGGTAAGGGGCTGGCGTAGAGGGGAGGAAGGAGACAAGGAAGACGCGCGAAGTGGGGAAAGGAGGACAGTGGATGGGAAGAAAAGAAAGCTATGTCTCCCCTTTCCACTTTTGATCTCGAAATCTGGCCACAAATACAAATCATTCTGTGTGAGGAGGGAGGGGGGAAGCCGAAACGTAGAAAGCGGATTCGGAGTGGCCCGTATGGCGCTGTAAATAGCGACTGTGTTTAAAGTTAGCTGTCGAATTCTGCTATCAAATCATCCTGCCTAGCTCATTACCCCAGGGAAAATGGGTAGGCGAGAAGCCTGTCCATCAGTAGGATTATAAAAGTGAAAAACTGGGGAGGCTTGTAGTTAAGAACTCGCACTGCAAATGGTGTTAGAAAATAAGAGAGGACCTAACGATTTCCGTTTGCAGGCACCAGCCCAACGCACCTCCCCGTCCACGTAGCAGGAAAGCGCTTTAAAAACTCTACGAGATATTCCTTTTCCTCTTCCTCTCTTTCATTCTCTCTCTTTCTCCGGATGGGAGAAGAGCATCCAGATTGAGGCGAAGAAGTAGGGAGGGAGGAAACTCGGCGCCCTATTTGTTAAATAAAATACATATTTGGTTCTGAAATCCGAAAGATAAGTATTCCAGACAGGAGTAGCGCAAGGTCTTCTCCTTACGCAACTCTTCCTGCATCCTCCTCCTTGTCCCCACCCCTTACGCCCCCAGCTTGTAAATGTTTTTTTTTTTTAAACAACCCCAAACCAGCGTTCCCCCCCCCAACAACAACAAAAAAGAAAAACCATCCGGGGATCTACTCTGGAAAATCAAAGCATTATCTATTATTTAACACGTATCTGTGTCCGAGGAAAAATGAGGAAGGAGCTGCATGATTAGGACCTAAGGGGCAACCCAGCAAACTGAGAGCGTAATGATGCCCCTAAATGAAGGGGGAAATGTGCCGCGGCGCGCTCTATTAATCAGACTGTCAATTTCACCCCCGAGGCCAAACCCCCGGGCGAGCAGAACTGGCTCGGAGCGGGCAAAGGACCGGAGCTTTGCTCCTCACTTCTTGTCTCTTCTCGCCTCCTACCTGGATCTATTTGTCTGCTCTCAAGCCGCCTTCATTACCCACTGACAGGAGCGTGTATTTATTTGCTTATAAACCTGTTACAATAAATGATTATTCGAACGGCGTCATTCGTACCTTAATGACGAGCGGGCGCTACTTTTTGATGAATGACATCTCAGGCTCGGAAGGATGTATGGGTCATTTTGACCAGTCATTCCCTCGCTCTGGCATCCCACAATTTTTCCGCCTCCCTCCAAAAGAGATAATAATATTTAGAGGCGCTCGCTGGGGCTGAATGAGAATTAGCCCTAGGCGCAGCCCATCATTAGGACGGGACAGACGGGCCACAGTGACATTTTTTAGAAAGCTGAGATGATGGAAAGAATAAGAAAAGAGATGATTCTGATGGAGAGAGGGCTGCACAGCCCCACGGCCGGCAAGAGGTTCTCCAATTTGTCCGACTCGGCTGGCAATGCTGTGCTCGAGGCCCTGGAAAATTCGCAGCACCCGGCTCGCCTCAGCCCGCGCTTGCCGTCCACTCCCCTGCATGGCGCTCTGGGAGACCTCCCCGCCAAGGGCAAATTCGAAATAGACACTTTGTTCAACCTGCAGCACCCGGGCAGCGAAAGCACCGTCTCCTCCGAAATCGCCTCCGCCGCTGAGAGCCGCAAGAAGCCGGGCCATTATTCCGAGGCGGCCGCCGAGGCCGACATGAGCAGCGACGTGGAGGTGGGCTGCTCCGCGCTGCGCTCCCCCGGCGGCCTGGGCGCCGCGCCGCTCAAGGAAAACAATGGCAAAGGTAACCGCGCCGCCGGCGCCGCGCTCTCCAGTCCGATCCTCCTAGCTCTCCGCAGTTCCCAGCGGCCCATCCCGGCGACTTTGCCCCTCTCCGACCCACCGCAAGCAAGCTGGCTCGGGCTGGGACCTGACGCATGCCAGGGACCGTGCCCTCTGGCTCTACTCCTCCAGGGTCCCGGAGAGGAGCAGGCCTAGCCTGAGGCGTCAGGCCCGCCTGCCCTCACTCCCCAGTCCGAGAGAATATTGCTGCGCGAGGGTCTAAGAGCCTGAGCGAGCCGACAGATCCCTAATCAAATGGCTCTCCGGGAAGGGTGCCCTGGGCTGCTTCTCTGAACTCTGTGTCCCCGAACCCGCAGGGAGGGTAGAGGCGGAATTCTTCTAGGTAAGGTGGAAGGAGAGCCTTGGAGGGCGCCTCTGCTCGACCCGCTTAAGTCAGGGAGAGAGAGTTTAAAAGTAGGTTCCACTTCCCCAATGGACCAGGTTTGAGGTGCTGCTGACTTGAGAATGTTAAAATATTCTTAACCAAACCCAAAAGACTGTCAAAGAAAGGTTACAGGCCATAGGGAAAGCTGCCCTGCGGTCTCCAGACCATGGCAAGCTGTCCCCAAAGGTAGGCATTTTTCCTCCGCCAGTTTTCCTCCTGAGTTAAATGTTTTTCATTATTAAAACAAAACAACCCCCCAAAACCGACTTAATATAGTTCCTATTATTTGGTTATGAAAGGCTCCCCAAACTTTATTGATCCCATTAGCAGCAGCAATTTGTAAGCATGACAGACCCCATCAATTCCTGCAGCGACTCTCCTTTCTCCCGCGGGTTCACCCATCCACGCGCAGCCCCAACCCTGGGCTCTTGGCCCCACAGAGACTCATGAGCTGTCGGACGTTTGTTTGTTAGGGTACGCGGAGAGCGGCTCGGCCGCCGGCACCACGACGTCGGCTTCGGGCTCGGGCCTCGGCAGGCTGCCTGGAGGCGGAGGGGGGGGGGGGGGCGGGGGGGCACCGCGCTGGGAGGCTCCGGCTCTGGTGCGGATCAGGTGCGGCGCTACCGTACAGCGTTCACCCGCGAGCAGATAGCACGCCTGGAGAAGGAGTTCTACCGGGAGAACTACGTGTCGCGGCCCCGCCGGTGCGAGCTGGCGGCTGCACTCAACCTGCCGGAAACCACCATCAAGGTATGGATTCCAGCGCGCGCCTGCTCTAGCCTCCCCCGGGGCATCTAGGCTGATTTGTTTCCTTTCACTTTTCTCCTTTCTGGGTGGCTAGATTTAGTTGAGGGCCTAGAAAGCGGAGGGGTGTAGTCGCCAAAGGAGTTGGCTTATTTCTCGGTTACCGAATTCGAACCATTGGTCGGCTGGCTGACTTGGGAAGGCCCGGGAATGGCAGGGGCGGAGGCACACAAGACACGCCCGTCGAAGCCACAAAGGCCGCCTCTGCTCCATCCTGCCTAGCGCCTGCCCCAGGTGCCTGCTCGCGCGTGCCCATGGCCTCACTCTCCCCTAGACTGCAAAGCCGGGTGGCCTTTGTTCCTCCAGCAAGAACCAGAGCCGAAACTTTTCATTTGCTCTTGATCTTGAAGATTTATTTTTCACATAAATCGTTACAACACGGAGAAAAGGATACTATATATTTAAAATCGATTAGGTTGAGAAAGTAGTTTCCTAAACGTTTTTTTTTCCCCATGGGCAACAGGGAAAGGCAATTTTCTGTGGGGAAAACGTAACGAAATTGTCCTTATTTTTATATATATCTTTAGATTATTAATTTTATTATACGTTCGAGAGAGATAGCTGGGAGGTTGGGCGATTTGGTGAACACTTTTACAGAGCGTTCAACACTAGAAAAAGAAAAGAGGAAACTCCACCGGTTAGGGGAGGGGTGTGGACGTCTCCTCCGGTTTGATCGGGCTTTCTTTAATTTATGGTTGTGCGACGAGTGATGTCTTTATTAGATATTGTGTTGGGAGGGGTAGAAATGTTCCCTTTCCAGTTTATGGGGGGTATTACTCTCGTCTCACTCATTTGAGGAACATGATTTCAACAAAATCATCCCCTCAATATCAAAATCGGACCCATGTCCCTAGGGGCAGGTCCTCGCAGCTCGGAGAGCTCAAGACCTAGCGTGGCGACCTTTCAGAAAGCTGAGCTGCAGCCAACCTCTCTTCCAAGGCTGCCCAGAATCCCGGTGCAAATCCTGGGATTGAGGGACCGGTGCTCAGCGAGGCTGGACGCCGGTGGGTGGCGGGAGGGAGAGGAAAGGTTGGGTTAAAAGCAGGAAATGCAGCAAGAAATAAGGGAGCAAAAGCCCGAGGTGTGGCAGCGGCTGGGCGCGGGAGAGGAGACTCCTCGCTGAGGAGAGTGTGCCCACTGCGGCCCGCACACTGCGGTCCACACTGTCCCCGTTGGGAGAGCACAGGGGACTAGGAGCCAGGCCGGCAGGGTGGGAGAGGAGTAAGCCTGGCCATTCATTGGGAGGTCCGAGGGTGGCGGAGACCCGGGGTGGGGGCCAGGAGTACCCGGCGCTTCCTAACCCGGGCCACGGCGCGGCTCTCCCCGCAGGTGGGGTTCCAGAACCGGCGCAGGACAGACGAGGAGGCGTCACGG